CAGCCCGCGCTCGCTCCATACTTCTTTACATTCCATAAGTTTTGAACAGCACTATGAGAAGTAAGGAAGTACGGAACTCGCGCCAGGCTCTCGTTGGGGTGCCGTGGCCATGGGCTGATGCGCGTCGCCGTCGCTGCTGCTGCCGCCGCCTCCGCCGCTGGTCCTACACACGCGCACGCCGCATGCGTGTGCGTGCCCGCCGCTGCCCGAAGTGCGTCTGCCCCGCCGAGCGGCACCGCCGCGCCACCGCCGCCGCCTCACGCCCGCCACCGCCACCCGGCCGCCGCCGGCGTCCCGCGGGGGAGGTTACATTCGGTCGTCCTTCCGCCTTCCACTCCGCCAGCAGCCGCCTGGCCGCGGTGGGTGCCTAAAAATGGGACCCCTTTTGCGCTCTCATTGGCTGCAGGGGTATAGGGCTTACCCCCATGTGTGGCTACCACGGTCCAAATTTGTCACTTCTTAAAATACATCTCCGTCGCCGCCGCCCGTCGCCATCGACGGGCCGCGGCGCTGCAGGCGCAGGAGTCACGAGGGCTGCGCGGAATCTTCGCCCCCCGCGCCGCCCGCCCCTCGGTGTTTGGAGCAGCACATGCGCCGCGGGCCCATATTATAGCCCCCCGCCGGCACCCCGCCCCCAAGCACTCCCGCCCCCCCCAAACCGCCCCCGCTTATTTTTACATCCGCGGGCGCACAACAGGCCTCGGGCGCGATGGGAAGTCTCACCCTGTAGCGCGCTGCGTGGCCTCCCGCGCCGTGCGATGGCCCGCCGCTCCGCTCCACTCCATTCCGCACAGCAGAGCACCGCCACCGCTTGCGAACAAAAAGGCGTTCCGTAGGAATTAATGGAGATGCGGGTGCCACTCGACTGTCGTCGCTCGCCGTTGCGCTTGCGCGCGCGCGCCCCGGTTGACGTCAGGGCCGCGGCGGCGTTTGCAGATGCCTCGAAACCGCGCCGCGGGCCGCTCAGCGATGGCGCGCTACGCCGCTGCACGCCCACTGCCACCCCACCGCGCGCGCTCTACTTACCGCTCCTCTCGCTCGTCCGCTCTGGAGTCGGCTGTGCACTGGCCACTTGGGCCGTCCGTCGCGGCGGTTGACTGATTGGCGCGCCGCGCCGCGTGGTATTCGTCCACAGAGTTAGTGGCGCGCCCGCGAGCTGGCCCCGACGCGCCACCGCGACCACCCACTCCGGCCCCCGCTCCCTGCCCGTCCCCACCCCCGCCCCCTTCCCGCGCCCGCCCCCGTCGCAAGGTCCGGGCCTCGGCGGCGCGGCGCTGCTGCCTCGTGAGCGCCGCGGGCGCGCGCTCTGGCTGTGCCTGTCGCGACAACGCTCTGAGATGATCTGCCGACTGAGGCGTCCGAGTGGGTCCCCCTTCCGCGCAGCTCGGCGCGGCGCGTTTTGCCGCCTCCGCTCCGCCCTTTCCGTCCGCCGGACCCATTAACTAAACCCTGCGGTCCCGCGTCCCATGTCGGGCCCGGGCCCCGCTTGCCTGCCTGCCGGCGGCACACATGGCCGCTTCGCGCCGACGCCGGCCGCGCCCGTTGACTCCCGCTAGCGCCCAGTCCACCCAAGGCCAGCGGCGCCTCGACCGCGCCTGGCTCACGTCTGGCGCCGTTGCCCGGCCCGTCCCGCGTCTGCCGGCCGCCTCTCGACACCTGCGCCACGCAACTCACCTTGGCCGAGCGCCAGCGCGGCGTTGCGGCGCTGCTAAGGGGCCCCCTCTGACTCCGCCACCGTACCGGCCGCGCCACTCATCGCGCCTACGTCCGTCACGGCCGCGCGCCGGCCGCGCCGCGCCGCCCGCCGCCGCCGCCGTCACCGCCACCGCCGCATATCCCGAAATACACGCAGGCTGCGCGGAGCGCGCGTGCGTGCACGGGCGGGCGGCGGCAGGCCCTAGTATGGCCACGCGCCAACTGTGACGAATTTAGGCGACGCCGCGCCACGCCGCTCGCGCACTAGGAATAGAGCTGCTCGGCCGTTGGTTCGTTCGCTGCGGGCGGGGAGGGGGGCGCTATCACATTACGTGACAGCAGCAGCCGTTACCGTCACATGCACTCGCATCGTCAGAGGTCCTGATAGCGATGCACGTACTTATCTCCGCTTATTGGGCCCACCGGCGCCCCCCAACGCTCCAGGAGGCCTGTTAACGAAAAGTTGTTTTCACGAGAGAAGATAATGGCCGTGCTCTGCGGGTGTGGTACTCTTGTCTTGAAGACATTGTTGCTGCCTGCGAGCACTGCGTCTTCTTTGTTCCCTCGGTTGAACGTGATTTGGCCCGTGGTGCGCGACCGCCCTCCCGGCGAGCGCCCGCAGGGGGCGGGGGCACCTGGCGCCAGATGCGCCGGCGGGAGGACGGTCTCTAGTTCGCGCGTTTGCCGCTCTCCCAGGGCGGCGCGGCGCCGCGTGGAGTTGCGGCACGTGCAGTCAGCTGGCGCGGAGGAGCAACCCCGCGGCCGCAAGTGTCGCCTGGTTTTTTGTCGGAGGCGAACGGTTGGTTCATAGAGGGCCCCCTGCATCAGACGCGCACCAACTTATGTTGCCCTTGGCCGTCTTCGCCAGCCGGCGCGGGCACGGAGGCGGAGGCGGCTATCTGCATGTGACGAGGCCCGAGATACGCTCTTGCCCACTTGAGAGATCGAATTATGAGGCTCCGAATGCTTCCGCGGGGGCGTCGGCCGCGCCCATTCATTCTCGAGCCTCGAGTCCCTCTGCAGGCGTTTGGAGACGTGGAGCTCTTGGCGCGTTATTAAATCCTCTGAATTCGTAACGAGAATAGGAGCACTCTGGGATCATGTAATAAACTGTGACTTTTCTTTCAGGGACAGTTCAAAAAATACACACAAAGGAATAATCTTTTACCCCTTGCCCCCTTTACAATTCATAGAATTACAAAGTGCAATATCTGAAGATTTCCATTAAATGGTGAATAAAGAATTTGATTTATTTATGGGCCACAAATACTGAACACTGTTTGAGGCGTACGGTGACAAAGTATATTCTGCACAGAGTTCCCGAATATTTTCCCTCTCTTCCCCTGTACACAGTTGAATTTAAAAAAATATAACAAAATGAGAAAAGAAAATAATTAATCGACTACATATTAAATCGTTAAAAAGTGTGGTTATCTATAGTTGTGAATAACGCTAATGAAGAAAATTTCAATAATTAAAAATGACTATGCAATAATACATCATGACGAATTCTAAGTTAATACAATTTGAAAATATAAAATAAAATATATTAACTTGAGCTCAAATTTTTAAAAAAAATGCATAATTTTCGCTAAAAGGAAGGATTAATTTTGTGCTTGTTGAGATGTATATCGCTACAGTACCATGAATGAACTCATAAGAAACAGACCTTAGGTATTTCCAAATAATCAAAAGACGCAATCTACTGAAGAGTCAAGACTCTGTTAACCTTTCCAGCGTTGATTTAAAAAAAACCGTGCCACATGAACCATAATGGCGTTCAATGCCTGCTTCAAAAAGAATGTCGTTGAGTAAAACTTAATCACCACGTGAATACTGAGCCCATAGTAATGTTTCATTTTAGGGAACAGCGACAAAATGCGAATATAGTGTGTTGCGTGCACTGACGTTACATTTTGCATTACTAGTATCCCAGGGTTAAACACTAATGATAGCGACCGTAGCTACCATCCTGGATCTCTCCACCACCCCTGCGGCATTCTTCTTTTGGCCGCGGTTGGTCTGCTTTTTGTCTGTACATATCGGCTCCTGCTTAACTGACGAGAGAGATGTCAACTGCCCGGCAACAGCCCGGTTTTCCACACTAATTTTCCTGAACGGCATATTTTCATTGAAGATCTCTTTGAACTACAAAATGGCCTCTTTTTACCTTGCAACAATCTCATGCGGAAACCAACAGAAAACACATCCTTCGGCGTCATTCTTTCTGTTTCTGGTGGCATTTTCCTTTGCATTTTTAACATTAATTACAAAAATTTCGGATTTGTGGATGGATAATAGTTTCCTGCCGATGCCCCAGGACATACACGTTCTTTCTTGAGACTTGGTTAGTCAATCCGAATTCTGGATTATTAGGAGGAAGGGGTAGTCAGCAAGTACGAATTAATGTGAATTTTCTCTGCTGCACGATGTGTGATGTTGATACGTAAGGGCCACCGTAGAGGCGTAAGTGCTATTTTTTGTCCCTATTTTGAACTCAGCATGCATCAAAGTAAGAAACGATTTCCTTGTGAGATACATGATATTTCAGGATCCTTTGGGTAATTATATATATAGGTATCACGTCTAACCTTTCTTTTCATCTGTTTCACGTGCTTAACGTTATTATTGAGGAATGGATTCCAAAATATGTGTATAATTTCACTTATTGTATGCTACTGATTTTGAATGCTTAGGCAAATGAACGTTAGCATTATCTCACATTTGAATGTTTCTCTTCGCCACTTCATATCTGATTTAACCCGATATGCCCTCTATTACTGGACTTTCTTTTGGGTCTCAAGCATTTTCCTATTTTTCCTCGGGTTTTTTGTTGTTGACAACTTCATTTCGCACAGTTGACATGTCTGTACGTAGCAGGTTCAAATTACAAAAAGTTTGGTGCTAGCTTTTTTGAACTTCTTCCCCACGAGAATCCTATTCCTGCTCTTACCCTTTTCTCTAAGTACTTTCCACTCAGGGTTATTTTTATTGGGGTGCCGTCTGTGACGTGCAGGGAATGATTGTGGTTGTGTGTGTGTGTGTGTGTTACAAGATGAGATCTGTCCGTTTTTCTTCCAAAGATGCCCCGAGTCTACAGAAGCGGGATCATCTTTTGAAGTAACTGTAGTATAGTCATCTGTTAACACGCATCCAGCCAAGTTGCATTTAACCTAGAAAGTATTGCATGGTTACGTACTTAAACGTTGTTTCCCTTCACCTTCATCACTGCCTTACCTCATTTGTATTTTCTTCATACTAAATAATTTTTCAGCCCAGTAATCCTTATTGTTAATCAAAATCTTAATTTCAAAATTCTGAAAAAATGTATTGATAGAATATTTCTGGCTTCTGTCGCATCCGTTTTCTGGCCAGAGAAGTGGGCTTGACGTAATAGCTTGCACACACGCTGTTCGATCCTCGGAAATCCATGTGGAAGTTTGGTGGTGCCTGTTTAATTTGTGAGCACGTGGGGCACATTTGCTTTTGTTTTCCCTTACTGCTAAATTGCTTTCTCTGAGAATGTGATAAGGGCGGAGTAATCTAAATCTTGCAATACTTGTACATTTTATTAAAAGTGTATTTTTTTATGTTTGTTTGCTGTGTATATCTTACAATTTTTAAAATAAAGAACATCGTTAATTATTTTTTGAATAGTAATTGAAAGTACTACTGTGCTACAAGAGCACACACTACTTTTTCGCATTATTTTTAACTGTTTCAATTTTCCAAAATTCAGTGCTCAACGAAAAAGAGAATTGTGCCATTTTGTAAGTGCCCTTTGCTCTATCCGTGAAAAAAAATGTAAAGAGAAAAATTGCAGCGTTTTCGAGAAAATGTTTATTTTTTTATTAAATTCCAAACTTCCAAAGGAAATGCGCTATCGCTACTATATTTTTCTCCAAAAATTGTACATGACGTTTTTTAAAGATTGACTTTTTAAAACAGATTTCATGTAAGACAATATATTCCTTCATTATTGTACTTTTGGGATGTTAAATTTTTTAGCAATTTTCGAAAATACTGAGATTGCCGGAAATAGGAAACAACCTCTAGTTTATCGTTCTTTGATACACTACAGAAGAAATATAAAGAAAAAATTCAGCCATTTTTTTTTAACCCAATAAAAAAATAGGTCTCTTTTTTAAATACATATGCATGGAAGAAATGCTATCTTCAAATAAAATGTAAGTTATAGGGAAGACACCAAAAGTTCTTATTTTACTTTATTTCGAAAATAAGTAATTTTAGCGAAAACGAGACCTGCGCCATTAATTTACTCCTTTACGCTGGCTTCGGAGGAACGTTAATTAAACATTTGGAAAATACTTTTCGAGAAAATTTGGAAAATGTTGAGACTTCCATGTAAGTACCCTCACGCCAAAAAATATCATATCCCTGTAAAACTAGCAATGTTTCGAGTTCGTTCAAATCATTCGTGGAATACAAATTTTGGGGAAAATCGTCAGACTCAGGGAGACGTTTTACCGTCAATCGATTTTTCGGTATTGAAAACCCACAAATCATGGATTCTGACACGTGTGTTAATGGGCATCATTTACAACATATAGGGAGAACATTTATTAACTTTTGCAATACCTGGACCCAGCAAAGAGTTTTTCTGTCAAAAAATTGACTTGATAGTATCTAATTTATATTCCGAAAAATCGAAAGGTATTTCCAAACAAATCTTACCAAATGTTCTCATTATTTGAGAAATTGATGGATATCTGAGGGGGATCAGTAAACATTTTTTGAGAGCCTCTTTAATGAAAAAGCAAAAAGTGTCGCTAAATTCAGCATAAATATCTAGTACTATAATTCTAAGAAGTATGCCAATGGATTTCTTAATATTTATTGTTATTTATAACGAGTTTTCTTATGAGTTGTGTTAATGACTTTAAATTAGTGAATGTTCTGTTTCGTGTTTCATCAGTGTAGTTTGTGTTAATAATTACAATTAATGTGTTAACAGTTAATTATATCTAAAAAGTTAATGTAAAGAGTTTATTAAAAAGAAATTAAAGTGTCCTTGCTTTTAATGAGTGCTGCATTTTCTTACTTCCATAGTGACTTCTTTATTTTTATTTTAGAAAAGTCCAATTTCACGCACATGTTACAGTATGTGGCACTAGAATTTTTTGTTCCGTTGTAGAAAAAAAAAAAATTTTTTAGATTTGATGTCGAGTAGGTAGTATGAAGTAGCGCGTAAGACGTAGAAAGAACTTGGCGTAAGTGAAAATTGTGTGAAATGGAAGAGAGCGTTGAAGGTGGTGCGTCTTTTGCGCAGTGCCATGCGCATCCTGCTGCTGAAGCTGCCGCGGCCGTGGATCGTGGACGAGAAGAAAGACGACGGCTACACGGCGCTGCATCTGGCAGCGCTCAACAACCACGTGGAGGTGGCGGAGCTGCTGGTGCACCAGGGGCGCGCCAACATGGACCTGCAGAACGTGAACCTGCAGACGGCGCTGCACCTGGCGGTGGAGCGCCAGCACACGCAGATCGTGCGGCTGCTGGTGCGCGAGGGCTCCAACCTCAACATCCCGGACAAGGACGGCGACACGCCCCTCCACGAGGCCCTGCGCCACCACACGCTGTCGCAGCTGCGCCAGCTGCAGGACGTGCAGGACGTCGGCAAGGTACGCTCGCCACCCGCCGGAGGGCCCTTTCAGGTGAGGTCGAAGTAGCGGCGCGTCGACACTTCTGTCTGGTGCCGACATGTTGCCCCGTTGGGAGTGGAATAGATTCCAGGTGAATGCCGTTAGGGAGTTACCCCGTCGTAGACTATCAGTATACCCGGCTTGAAACAAGGATTAAATGGTCACACAACAAAGTAAAATGCAATATAATATCATAGGCGTGCGCAGCCTAAAACAAGAGGAGGGGTCATCCCCCCACTGAGCCCCTGTTTCTGTTAATATTTTTTACAAATGATTTATTTCACTACTAAATAAATAAAATGTAATAAAAGGAAGAGTAAATAATTTTAATGATACAAATACAATTGGTTTTATGTTGAACAACTTACAGGGTTGATTGACGGTTAGGAGGGCCTTTTCCCCTGATGTATATCAATTCCCCCAAGTTCTCAGCTTAAAGGGGTAAATCAGGAATTGATTATATTTATGGAATTAAAAAGTTTTATTACTGGGAACTGTGGGACCTCGAAATTTTCAAGGGCCGATGCCCCCCTCTCCCCATGCATGCACGCCTGTGTATTATATATCATTGAAAATATGATATTATTCATGGAGAGAAAATTTATAGAGAAAACTAATATGTGATCTTAAAATAGAAAATAAAGAACATCCTATATGGCCTTCACAATTTATTGATGATAGAATATCTCGTATGTGATTAGATGCACATGGGAGGTTTTCGTAAGGTTTCGTGCTTTGAGAAAAAAATACAATAATGAAATATTTATTCTACGAGTATTATATAGAAAGAGTAGAATACTTTAACTTAGTACATTGTTAACATCAAAAGTGTTTTTCTTTCCTCCTGTAATTTTTTTTTTTACATAGAAGGTTGTCTATTATCAACAATAATACCTTATGTAATAGTTTCTTCGTATCGTAAGACACCTTATTGCAGTACGAGAATGGATTGTGCTCGTTAGATCGAGTTTGGGTATAATTGCTCTGTGGAATTATGTGAGGATGTATTCAGAGAGTACAGCGTGCTGACCACTTTTAATTACTGTTTGTTTTTTGTGCAGGGAGTCATTTTCTGCAAGCTTTGTTTTGTGACAAATTGAGACCTACTCGTATTTCGAAGAAAATGTATTATCAGATGGTGAATGAATAGGTCGGCCAGTTAAATGGGTGTTTTGTTTGCAAATAAACCAAGTTCTTAATTTTCTTGATAGCATATTTTCCACATTTTGTTGCGGTTGAGCTTCGTTTGGTCTTTACAATAAATATAGTTACTAAAAAGTTGAACTTAACCATTAGTGTTTTTAATAGTTGCGGCCCGAACGACTGATTCGCCACTTATAAATAATTTCAATTGATGTGAATAATATTTTGCAATATGAGAATTAGTATTACAATTTATTCTCGGTAATGTTTGATGGCCTGACTGTAGCAAAGCACCGCCGCTCGGCTAGCTTGGGTTCATTTTTAGAGCCTTAATGAGGCAGTAGCGATTAGTTCCCGGACGTTTGGCTCCCGGTCAACGTGCTTCCCAGAAGCCCGCTTGCAATAATTAAACGCCAAATGGAGCAGCCGCTCTATGGAGCAGCCGCTCCTGGGGAACAAACCGCTCTTTGGGCTAGTCCCTGCTGGGGCGAAATGAATGTGCCTTTTAAAAACATGAAATCATTATCAAAGTTCATCGCTGTTGCGCGTAATGAAAGTAGCAAGTCGGACCTGGCCGGTTTACCTGTTGCTGGAACAGTCGAGGCGATCCGCCTTCGCCTTCGCCTTCGCTCTTTCCTGGGGAGACGCTTTGTGAAGCAAGTGGAGTTTATGACGAATTCAAATATTCAGTATTTTCGCCGTGGGTGTGGGTACAAATGTTGTATTCGTGGAGAACTATTTTTCTATTTTCACATTTCGTCCGCTGATGTGATTTGCTAAACGGCCGGGAAGCGATAGTCTCCTGCAGTTTATTAGATATTTGATATGCTGTTGTTGCATTTAATAGTTTGATAGGTGCAATTTTTGAAATTTGTAATATAATATACTTTTTCATTCGCGCTCAAATGCGGGTGCGAAAACGCTTCTGGCTTCTGTGTTTGTCAAGTCACGGTGACCGAAAAGAATGATAAAAATGGAATGGTTTTGTCGATATTGTACATTATCCATCTTCGCCTATTCATTTAGCAGCTAAATTAGAAAATAATATCTCTTTGAAGAAGGGCCCGCAGAAAGTATTTGTTAGCTGATGAAAGTACAAGAGACGGAGATTATACTTCTAGTCACATGAGAGTCGTGCGTTGGCAGAATTCTAGGGAACTCGATGATCCCCGTCACAGGGTTAACATTCTCTCTAGTGCTGCATGTAGCATCTCCTTAGAGTCTGAGTGATTATTTCTTGTGTAACGCTACAAGTGACGCAATCAAAGAACTTTTCAAGGTAATGCATGAATGAATGAAAGGTAGCGTGTGCTGCCGTCTGAACTCTTAACGTCTCCCGAGTCCGCCGCGCCGACTTCTTTGAAGCGTTTGCCTCCTCTCCTTGCTTGACTCGCCTCCTGACGGAGGGGCGGGCAGAGTGTGAATAGACAGAGTGGCCCGACGCAACGCAACGCAAAGTGAACACCTCGAATCGTGTGTGTTGCGCACAGCTGCTGATGGGGCTCGGCAGCCAGGGCGCGGACAAGAAGTCGTCGGCGTCGATCGCGTGCTTCCTGGCGGGCAACGGCGCCGACCTGGGCATCAAGAACAAGAAGGGCCAGACGCCGCTCGACCTCTGCCCGGACCCCAACCTGTGCAAGGCCCTCGCCAAGTGCCACAAGGACCGCAACACGTGAGTAGCCCTTGGATTCTAGCTAGGTAGCTGGGGCAGATTCAGCCGCTCGCTCGAGGAGAATTCTAGCGGCCAGCTGCTCTGGTCGGTAGTTTTTCGTGGTTTCTCCAATAAATAGTAGACCAATGCTGGAGAAGTACCCTAACAAACGGGCCACGAACCTTGCGCTGTCTTTCCTACCTCATCCTTGTCTCCTTTGTACACGCCCACTTACATGCACTACCACTCATGTCGGGAGCTTAGAGCTTGTCCCAGGCTGGGGTGAAGAGGTAACTGATGGGGGAAACCGCCCGTAAGCCGACTTGTAGGTCGGCCTCGGATTTTACGTTGCAGTGGGGAGAGGGTCACCGCCACCTTCCGGCTGAAACATGCACTACACTCAATGAATGACGAGCGTTCGAGTTGACGCGTCCGAAATCACAAAATAACTCCCTCTCTCCCTCGCATACGTTCCTTTGGGTGAGGCTGCGGGTGCGGTGCGCAGGGACCAGATCGAGCCGCGGCGGGCGGACGGCGCGGGCGGCGGCGGCGAGGACGGCGCGGCGCTGGACGAGTGCCTGGTGTGCTCGGACCTGAAGCGAGACACGCTCTTCCGCCCCTGCGGCCACGTGGCGTGCTGCGGCGTGTGCGCCCCACGCGTCAAGAAGTGCCTGGTGTGCCGCGAGCCCGTCGCCGGACGCGTCAAGGTAACGTGCGCCTGCACCCCCATCTGTTTAGTACAAGTCTCCACGTACCGCGATCAAACTAGTCATTCGCGAACTGTTAAGCTCTTGCGCACGCAGAGAAGGGTTAATACATAATAATCGTACATGAATGTTAATATATTTATTTTTTACTGGTACGTTATTGCTTGTTATTGCCTTCGATATTGAGCTCAATGTACGCTGCATAACGTACCTGGATTGAGAGGATCGTGGCTACGGGGGAAATATGAAAACAGATTAATGATCCTCTTATGGAGGGAATTACGGGACAAATACGAAAAGACTGTGTCAAGTTAACATCTAGTTAATTAGTAAATAAGTAGATATTGAATCATTAAAATTAGGTAAAAAATAAAATGTACGTATCACGCGCGTTAACTGTTTCTAATTATCTCGTACTACAAAAATTCCAGGGAGCGAAGACCCTCAGGCTTTTTGTCATCGCTAAATCATTAGGACTATTTCAGGGCTTTGCGCTTCTTAAACAAGATTTTTTCTCAAAAAGTAGTTTTAGAAGTTTTGCGAAAGATAAAACTAACATTTTAATTGTGAGTACAGAATTTTTCATTATCTGGGCAGTAGGATGGCAGTTTGTAGGTTATTTGCTTGTCGTGATTGAAAAGCAACGGGGACAAAGAGCATCGATTAGGTTGAGCAACAGCGATTCCCTCGCGCGGTGCGTCTTGCCACGAGGCTGGAGCCGCGTTGTGTGTGCGCCGCAGATCGAGGAGTGCGTGGTGTGCTCGGACAAGAAGGCGTCGGTGCTGTTCAAGCCGTGCGGCCACATGTGCGCGTGCGAGGGCTGCGCGGCGCTCATGAAGAAGTGCGTGCAGTGCCGCGCGCAGATCGACCACGTGCTGCCCTTCATCGTGTGCTGCGGCGGCGGAGGCGTCGGCGCAGGTATGATTCTCGTTTGCTTGATTGGCGCGTTAATTTCTTTTAATTCTTTCAGGGCGTTGTGTGTCGTGTTCTGACACTAACGCTCTACGTCGACGCGATGCGTCTTTTCGGCCTTCGCCAAAAATCCCGAAGTTGCTCGTCAAAAGGTAGTGTGGAAACGGGGTCTTAAATTGCATGCGCGAAGTTAAAGACGCTGATGCAACTTGGTGTGTATGCGCAACGCTGTCTACTCTGTGCCTTCTTGCCTTTCAACGAAATGAGGACATGCGTAGGATTTGCACTTGCTGTGGACGAAAGAAATTTAATAGAAAAGTGCTAGTGCGAAGCAAAAATGTTTAAAGAATATAGGACCGAGATAATATTTTAATTTAATTCTAATGTCTTTATTGTATTTTGTACAAAAATATAAACTTTTATTACTGTTTTCTTGGAAACACATATAACTTCTAGCAATCAAATCTTCAATAAATTACTTTACGAGTGATGTATTTTCATTTCGGTAGAGGAAAAAGTGGAGACAATGGAAATGTGAAGACAGTGTTGCATTTCTTTTCGGAAGTTTTCAGTAAATACGTCAATGCAGGTCTGGTGCGAAAATAACATAAATACTTCAACTGCGCTAAAAGTAACTTACTTGTTTTGATGGGTGCACATTATTTGCCTTGCCATGGGCTACCTTGCGCTACTGCATGCGTCCTTCCTGTCCTACAAATATAATTTTGCTTCGCGCGCTGTTATATGCGTTACACGCGTGCGCAAAATGGAAGGAAAATACGCATCGTGTGGACGCATTCTCAGAGCGAGTCAGCGCGCGAGAGAAGCCTGAAGGCGCGTGCGTTGCAGGGTGCGGGCTGGACCTGCTGCCCGTGGACGGCGAAGACGACGCCTTGGGCGCCGCCGCTGCCGCCGCGGCGTTGGGCGCTGCGGCGGCGGCGGCAGCAGCCGCGGCCGCGCGCGCCCCGCGCGTCGATGCACCACCGAGCGCGCCCACGGCAGTAACAGCAACAGCACGGCCCCGGCGCCGCGCAGCGGCGCCAACAGCGGCGCGAACGCTGCTTGCGGCCTCCGCCGCCGCTGCCGCGACCGCCTCTCGGCCATGGCGGGCGCCATGAGCGCCGCGGCGGCGCGGCTGCAGCTGCGGCGGCGACGGCCTCCGCCGCGCCCCCGGAGGCGGCGCCCTTCACCGGCGCGCTCATGAACAACGGCAGCCGCGACACCTCCAACTCCGACATACAGAAGCTGCAGCAGCAGCTGCAAGACATCAAGGAACAGGTATGTGGAGACGCTCACATCATTTGTATCATTTTATCACTAGAGCCCGGTCTTCAAGCATTTATTTTATCTAAAATAGGAATGTAAAAAGGCAATTATTCTAGCTAAAATAGGGCTTGTTTACAATACCCCGGTTTTAAAAACTTTAAAAAATGTCATATAAACAATAAAAAATTACCATTAAAAAGGATCTATTGTAAAAAAGGTTTTTAAAAAATCGTGACTAGTACATTATCTCCAGCATTGAGAAGGGTTCTATCATACATTATGTACTAGAGATCTGTCCTTGAAAGTGTTTGGAAGCCACACTCTTAAGACAAGATGGAATTCCTTATCAGCAGTCTCTTGGCACCAACAGAAAGAAATTCATCTATCTTCGCTAGTTTCATCTTGCCTCTGTGTTATGATTTGTTTTACTTCCAATTTCAACACTTCTTACTGCATGCACACATGCAGAAAGAGACCAAATGTGACTGTGTCCTCGTGTTGACCAGAGTTGCAGATCAGTTTCTAGTTTGATCGAGGTCAGTGCTATGAGAAAAAAGAAAAATGATGATTCAAAATGAAGAAAAAATTAAAATAAGGCAAAATACTAAAAAGTCATCAGAAAATATACAAAATGAGCAAAATGAAAATATTCTAAATTAACTCAAGAAGTACAGTTAAGTGGTTGTTAATGTTAAAAGTCTTACAGTTGTAATAATAAAGGCATTTTGCCAAACTTCCAGCCTCTAATAATCAACATTATCATCATTCATTTAGTCAGCTTTCTTTACAGCTACAGCTAATGTTTTTACACACATCATTACAAATATTCTCCTTAAAAAATCCACTTGACCCTCATACATTCCTCCATCCTTTATTTCCTCAGCTTTTCTTCCTCATTTCTACAGCTTCCTGTTTCAATTCTTATCTGACATACAACTTTACATTTACACAACTCCCCGTTCATATCCTCATCTTGTACACCACCCCACCTTTCACCATTGAATCAAATCATTATTAAAAATTACTACTGTCTTTTTCTAAATATCTCATATTCTTACATTATCCTTCTAATTCTTCTCTTAGTTTCTCTATCCTCTTTCTTTCTTTCCACTTCCATTGCCACCATAGGCCAAAAACAAGAGGACCAACTAGATTTCTAGTTCCCCTTTTCCATTGAACTTTTTAATATTTACACACGATAGAATGTGTGTTATGTAATATTATTTTTCTTGTAAATAAACAATATATACTGCAAAGATAATTAATTATAAATGTAATTACTAATTAACTGAATATTTAAAAATTAATAACTAAATTTAACTACTAATAATTACAAACAGCTTCCTGCTGAATTAATTACAGGGCTGCCAGACCTGGAGAACCTCTTCCCCAAATGTCCCATAACAAATTCCCTAATTTACTCTGACAAATAAAATTAGTGAAAATTATAGTAAAATTATTGTATGTTGTCATAATATTTTAATGTTTTTACTTATTCTTGAAGTAATTGTAGTTTCTAATGACCCCTGTTGTGCCTAAAGCGACATAAATTAAATAAAATTTAAAAATCTACAAGTGTCGGCTCAAAAACGGAAAAATCAGGGATTGATAGTAGTTATGAAAATTTATTTTATCATTTTATATATGAGGTCCCTTGGAAAATGTTCAAGGTGGCCCACTCTGATCCCCCTCTGTGCGTGCCTATGATTGTCTCATAATATTTCTCTATTTATAATTTGAACATATATATGATTTGTTAAATTTTTCTTCTATCTTGTCAATTTGAGTTTTACAAGTTAATATACTTTCAAAATTGAAAATCACACAGCGGCCACAGTGTGTATCATGCCACAGTCTTAAGACCCTGTGAATTCAGGAAACCAAACTTTGTGCTATTGTGAATCATTGAGTGACTAAGAATATGAGTCATCTAAATATATCAGTTTACATTTTGTATATTTAATCTGCCAAAAAAATGGACATGCAGTTCTTTATACAGTTTCAATAAAAAGTTAAACAGTACAGTAGCAAACATAATAATTCCCAAAAACACTCAATAAAATGTCTACCTACACTACTCAAAACAAAAGCAAGGTAATTAAATTTTAAGTAGAATAGAATAAAATAAAATACATGATATTTTAGAATAGAAGTCCATTTAAATTTTAACAATATATTTTTTATAGCAGTGATAATTTTGCGGTATAATCTACTGAACAAATCAACTGACTGCTCATTAAAAAAGACTACATTCTGATTAGAGGATTACATGCTTAATAGGTCGAATTGTACTTCTTGGCCTTGAAGATAACTCTTCTTCTGGCATCAAATGGAGGTACCCTGAAGTTAGTCTTATCCATAATCATTGGAGAATCAACATAAAGAAGACAGTAATTAGATTGAGAAGGAAAATTAAATCAAGGAAATTCTACAATGATCCAAGGGATGATTCTAGTGCCAAAATGTATTCCTGTAGTCACGGTCAATAAATGGATTGTATAATTGCATTCTCAGCACTGTTAAAAGAAAGAAAGAAAGGAAGAAAAGAAGAAGAAAAAGAAAGAAAGCTGAATTGCCTCAATCCTAGAACAATCCACATTAGCTAGTAGAGCTCATATCACCAATGCGAACATCAATATTAGCCAAATGACTTAAATATATAAATATTTTAAAACTCAAAATCCAGAACAAGTTTGTGTCACACAACCCCAAATTTGGTTAGACAATATAGCAATATAAATATGCTCCTGGAGCGTCCTGTTAGAATCAAAGACAACACCCAAGAACTTAATTGATGTTACTTTAGCTAGAGACTTGTGTTAAGCATTCATACAGATTTAATATGAGCTGATCATAAGAACACTATTTTTAGAAAGCATATAATATATGTTATAGGCCCTGATAATTGCCAGGATTTTCAATTGTTTTGAATAGTTTGCATTCATATGCAAACAACACATATTTCACATCATTCAGAACAAATTTAATATCACAAAAAAAATATATATATAAAAAGCTAGGGTCACAAGTAGGACCCTTGTGGAACACCTGGAAAAACTGCAATTACACCTGATATGAAATCCCTACATTAACAAATTGTGATATGTTAGTAAAATAACTAATAAACCATTGGAGATGAAAGCCTTTTATTCCAAACATCTCAGCTTTGAATAAGTATGACATGGTCAATACAATTTTTGGTTGTAAGAAATAATAATAAAATACACATATACATGGCTGTACAATTTTTTATAAGGTCTTACACTTTGAAACCAAAGCCTAGATTTTATCTCGGCAGCTATGTTGCTCTCGTCTGTGATGGGGGGCAGCGGAATTGATGCAAGTAATAATCTCACAAATACCATAATCAACAACGTAAATGAAATTTTCATTAATTCTTTGTTGTTTTTCCCAAACAATACAAATTGAGATTGTTGAAGTCATTGAATTAGGGATCATTTAGTTCAGTTCATAGGTGATTCATTTCATCAGAAATTAATAGATGCAGTGTGCATGAAAAGCCAAAATTTTTAGTGTGTTTTTTAGAAAGCGATTTGCATCTCCAAAGAGACCTACAGTGAAACTCCGTTAAACTCACTTATACATTTTTCACGTTTATACGTTGCTTTTGTGGTAAGTCCCGAATAAATTCCTATAATTTCCTTTCTAAGTTATTTCAGTTACTCGTTTTACGATTATAAGTTTTTCGCGCTTACACGTTCATAATAAAAGTCCCTTTG